TTTATATGAAACTGCTACAGGAGATGTGAAAACTCACTCTGGATCAATGAAATGATGAGGAACGATATGTTTTTTATGAAATGTAGTGGAATAAAAAGTACAATATTATAATATGCTTTGAGATATACTGAAATAAAAATTTCTTAAAATAAAAACACTCAGACAAAGAACAGATACCACTGGTGATGATGACACAATAATGCAATACAGTAATGAGAATAACTGTCAGGACACAATTTTTTTTAAAACCAGCATAAAGGCAATGCAGCAAATACTACCTTGATGCATAAATACGGTTTCAAACAAACTGTATCAAAAAATATTTGAATTATGGTAACACAAATTCTTAATAACCCCATGATATATTTTTCCCATTGCTGACATATTGAAACAGGAAGTCTGCATTTGAATTCTGACACATTGAAAAATTGTCCCCTTTTTATTGGCCAATATGCTTTAGTTATGACTTAATCATGAACTATAATGTTAGTAGGTAGCTGTTGGTGTTTGTGGGTCGGATATTTCTAAGATATGACTAGACAAAAATTTGTGTAGTGTAGAAATGAGTCATGAAATATTTCTGGTCGATTTTCCAATAAAAAAGACATTTAAAAAAAAGTGTAACCTATATTAGCTACTTTCAGTGCCACAAATCTGCAGTTCTAGGTCTTTAATACACATTAAAATAGGCTGAATTTTTTTATAAGCAAAATATAAAATGCTTCACTTCCTTTTAATTTTGATGTTCCTGCTGGGCTTTACAAAATTCACCTTATTAATAAACAACAATATGGAATTGCATACCTTGTCACTGAATAATTCAATACTGACATATCTGGAATTAAGTGTTTAGTCAGATTTCAAATGGTTACAGAGAACTGGTCTCGTATCTACAATGGATGATACTGTCTATGAAATATTACAGGAATTAAGATTGTACATATCCTCACTGGAGGCCATTGCTACTTCTACAGTTTACATGAAAGTGTATGCTGATGTCACACGGAGATATACTGTGTGTACCTGCCACACCAGATAACACTGAAGCTAATCAACATTGCTGCTGTCTATCTAGCTTTTCAAAAGCGAAAAAGCCAGCATGCACAGATCAACCCATTGACAACTCATTTGAACTTTAAAATAACATAAATGGCACCATTTTCACTGCTGCTTTCTTCTATCTTAATGGAAAACGAATGGGTCACAACTTGTCTGGCACCTATTATAACTCCATTAGCAATGCTACGTACTGTCCAATCAAATAGACGGAGATTTTCTAGTTCATTTTTAGTTTTAATAAGGACTTCAAAGAGGAGATCAATGCAGATTACACTACTAGATTACTCAGAACATAAACTGGTGAGAAAAGAAAGTAAAATGAACTAGTCAAAACACACAGCAGTTTGAAGGCCCTAAAGCAAATGTTGAGTCTGGTCTAGATAGGCCTGCTAATTCAAAGACAACTGAGGACTCAACAATCAACCAATACTCCTAATCGATTGATCCTGCAAAACATAGAAAGCAAAACCGACTGTTGAGCAGACAATGCAATGTCCAGACAGCAGCACCTGCATGCAAATGCTAAACAAATGATATGTTAGCTCTATTAAAGGACACTTCAGTGAAGTCACGCAATCCAACATGTGCAACAGAGTTCAAATGTCATAGTAATAAACAGATATTGACCAGTGAAGTTCTGCGAAATTACAGATGAATGTCTTTTTACTTGTGTAAACCAACTTAACTACCATCAATGATGACTGAGAAGTCTGGCTTCAGTCTGCCAGTCACTTGACAAAATGAGTCTCTTTGTCACATTAATTTTGCATAGGAAGGTAATGAATGTTGTACAAGCGCTAACATGTTAACAGAGGGCAGTCTAACCTAATCGACACTGCCCTTTTAACCGGGTATACTTATTTTCTGGAAGCCGACAAGGATGCCTTGGGTGTTACGATATTGGGAGTAATCCGAGTATACCAAAGAATCCATTAAATATGACAGCTTTCAAGTTATTACTTAAATCCCAAATAGTAGCCACTTCATTAGCTAAAAAAATCATCCCAATATTCTGGTAAATACAGCACTAAGAATAGACAACACGTGCAAAAGAGAAATGAAATGCTGCACAGTATGCACTACTCCACACTCCCTCTATCCCCGAGGAGGCCGGAGCGATTTATCATCATGCGTTAGGATTGTGCCCACTGTAACAGGATGTGAGGTACTTCCTCTGAGGACCTGCAATGTTCCTATAACATCATCAGCGAACCCACCATTTGAACATGCATATAATTAATGGTACATTTATAAAGAAATTGTGCTGGATTGAGGTATCAGCAATGGTTAAAACCTCACAAGGACATCAAGTGATTTATTTTCAGAATATAAACAAAACCATCTGTTAGCTAACCTTTAAACACCCCACACCTGATAGGTCTGTCTGATAGGTCTGGCCAAAAAGTCCAGTTACTAGTCCGACTGGTTTTTGGGATGAACCCCCTTAAGTGTTTTCAGCAGAGCAGAGCATTCTAAGAAACATTCTCAAATAAAGACCAAATGATATATGAGAAGCCAGACAACATTATTCACTGACACTCTGAAAAATAAACGTTTTAACTGCAACCAATAGGATTTTAACACCTGGTGCCTTAGGAGAATCTTTTTGTATTCAATACTTTTTTAGTTTTCTATGGATTTAGAAAGTATGCACTGCTTTAAAGCACCCAGAATCAAATATACTGAACTCAAAAGCCTATAACGCAACCCAATCCTGAGAAAACGTAGCTATTTTATGAGGTGGTGGTTTTGTATGAATTTGTATGACGTGATTTGTAATGAAGACTGTACGAATTCATACAAATTAGCCACCAATTCACCAAAATTTAAAACAGTTATGAGTGTTGGCATTTCACCTTGAAGATTATTTCAACAACTATAAACTAAAAATGATTTATGTGATGCTTTTAAAATCATGTATATGGGTCAATGTTATACCACTTATCTTTGTTGTATGATCTATTAGTAAGTTATGCAAATAACGCAAATACAAAAATGTACTTGAAAACACATATGTCTTTGCACATATTTCTTTGCACTACAAAGACATAACCCATGAACTATGCCAACAATGAAAATGAAGGGGGAAAACAAGTTTTTTGAAGAAGCAAATTCTTGAAAAAAAATTAAGAAAAAATGTTTTTGCCTTTTTTAAAGGATAATAAAATAACCATTTTTGAATTTTGTTTTAAAATATTACATTTTGTCAATCAGTGTGTCATAACCATCACACAGGAAATCTATCATGTAACAAAAACATCATAAAACAGAGAGGACCCCTTTAGACCCTCATGACTGTGGAGGTCATTTAGTCTTGACCTTTTTATGAAAAGGTTGTTCAGTTCAAATGGAGTAACAATAAGAAAACGTCTTGATATTTATGACTTTTGTATTCATGATATCTGCAAAAATATGTTGCTCCTTAAAAAAATGTGTATGAAAATTGTGTTTATAGAAATTATTACATAGCTACACCACTTGGGTGAAATTAAGGTTTGGAAAGTATTTTAGTACATAGTACTAGTAGTATTGATACAATAAAAAAAAAAAAAAGACATTTCTAAGCACCTGGCACATGCATTTTAAACTAGATTTTTTAAAAGATTTTCCTTTTTATATCAAATAGGCTACCCCTTTTGCCATTGACCCATATAACATTTTTATTATTTTACAAAAAGTACCAATTTCAGAACACAACCAGAACTCATTTCTGAAACCCAAAGCTGGTTATCATCAGACAGAAATGTCATCAACAACCCGCGATTTTCAGTTCCCTCTTCCCTGTACCCAGAAAGAAGCACCTTATGCAAACACCAGGCACTGTAGTTCACGAGGAGGTTTTTGATTAGCAACTTGGTTTGTGTAATTTATTTCTGACTCACTGCCTGCGTACCAGAGGCGGACAGTAACTAAGTACATTTACTTGAGTATTGTACTTAAGTACACTTTTTGAGTATCTGTACTTTACTTGAGTATTATTTTTTCTGGGAACTTATGACTTTAACTTCACTACATTTGAAAGACAAATATTGTACTCTTCACTCCACTACATTTCTATCAAGATCCTCGAAGTAGAAAGTCGTTACTATGTAGAAGCTTTGAAAGTCGGTGGGTGATTTTTTTCTTCTCTAAAACGTGACTTTCTTTTTTTCAGACAGTTTATCAGTAATCACTCTTGTAGGGCTACATGAAGTGATTTCCCAGCATTTTTTGAGCACTGACCAGCTGCAAACGTGGTGTTTATTTACAACAATTCAATAATAAGAAGTTAATATTGTGGTATACATTACACACAATATTGTCTGATTTTGCTAAATTGTGTAAGTGAAAATATTACCTATAAAGCCACAGAAGAACTGTTGTGCGTCTCCTAATAAAACACAAAAGGTGTTTGACTGAAGCAGCACTGCACAGACCATTCTGTGTGTGACATCAAAGTACAGCGAGAGCGATTAGACAGCATTTTTAAAATGTTTGTTTTGATGCCAAATACGTCTTGCTGTTTTGCTTTTTTGTTAAAGCAGTGTTGCTGTTGTAAAGTTATACAGCTACAGTTGTGTTGCTGGGTTTTAAAGCAGGTTTGCTTTTTTTTTCTTCCTTATCACTCTGTATTTACAGGATTTCACTGTACTGTATTCAGTAGGTGTAATGTATTCTAAGTTGCTTCAGAAGTATTGCAAGTACTACGTACAACAATAAAACAGTGCATTGACATAAAAAAGGAAATTTACTTTTGGTACTTAAGTACTTTTTAAAGCAAGTACTTCTGTACTTTTACTTGAGTAAAAATCTGTCTTTACAACTTTTACTTGTAATGGAGTAATATTTGACCAGCAGTATCTGTAGCTACTTTCACTCAAGTAATGGAATTGAGTAGCTACTTTGTCCGCCTCTGCTGCGTACTGACTCAAAAAGAAATATGTTTAATAGTTGACATTTACCTCATCCGGACTTAAATTAAACGCTTCTGCTATTTTGCTGTACAGCTCTTTGACGTTCGAGAAGCCCTCGATCCTGCCCGTGGGACTCCCGTGTGCGAGCTGCGTGTGAAACACCAGTTTCGGTCGCATGCTGGCAGGTGGAGGAGGGAGTCCGCCACCGTTCACCGCGGACTTCCCGACAACTGCGTGTCCGCTGACCTCCTCGTTTTCCACTAAGTTCGAGCTTTCCCTCGACTTGTTTTTCTTTTTCCTGAGTCCCAAAGGCATGTTCGCTCCTCCTGTAAATCCGTAGGGGGAATGAAGTACACGGGAACCGGACAGCTAAAGCATTGAAGGACGCAAATCAACCTGTTGAATGTGTCCTTTTTGTTCAGCTCGTTCCCACTCTTCGAATGCGAGCCGGGGGCTAAGAACGGTAGTATTCAACAGGTAGCAGATTAGAAATAGACGGTATGCGGATCTACTGTAAACTCTCTTGCCGTTGAGGCGCAGACAATGAACAACTCTATGGCCGAAAGCACGCGCGCTACAGGACGCCGTGACGTCATCCAGCAACTCATTTACCTGGCTCAGGTGTCAATTATTTAACTCCAACTGGTGAAAGTCGATGAAGATAAACATACGCCTACCAAGAACGATTATTATAGCATAAGTAGTAGCCTATTGAAGATACACTTTCCTCTCCAAAGTCAGATTACATAACAGATACGTGAGTGTAGAAACTATAGATAACCAATACCCATTTTGAATTTGTAATTGTACATTTCATCCAGCACTGTGTAAATAATTTTTTACATCTTGGTGCCATTCACTCTTAATCTTAATCATTTAGTAAGGATACAGTCTTGTTTGCCAGCATTCTTTTCAATGAGATTTAATATCTCGTTTATGCTTTCATAAATCACAGTCATCATTCTGATAAGATGACTAATTTTGAGTAGCCTAGCAAAGGTTGCCGACTATTTTGGACCTCATTTCCGTCATGTAGTCTGATTTTGAACATGTGGCGTCCTCTGGCGGATATTCCAATGAATCACTTGTACAGTAGTTGAGGATTCTGTACCTGCTACATTTTTTTATTAAATCTATCATACAGGTTTATCCATAAACTTCAAACACAAGACACTAGGAGTAGTCAATAGAGTGGAAATGTAAAATAAAATTATTCTACCAATGCAAACGCTCTCCTAACGTTCTATGAATAAGCATGGTGTGCTATGAACCCACAGCACAAGTAACCAAATGTTTGGTCTCTGTCAAAGACAATTACATTACGTGAGTCCGTTGCTCACATTTACAAGGATCTGACATATCAGATCTGAAAAGGCATTAGTTGAGTCTTGCTAAATGCTTTAGCATCGCAAATGAAGGCAAGTATCCATGGTACCATAACACAGTTCACTCCAAGCCATAATTTACAAAAAATGACATACTTTGCATTTAGAAAGAAGAACAGTACACGATCTGTCAGTACAGATGGGATCTACTTGAAAAAGGCAAACAAATAAATCTGTATAATTTAGTCTATAAAACACTGATTTCAATGAAACATTTCATACGGCACAATTCAAAAGAAGCATAAAAATAACAGTAACTTTGCGAGAACAAAAAAAATATTCAGACACAGATTGCACTTTAAGTTGGTACTGTCACTGACATACACAGGCATGCAACATAATTCATATATAGTATGTGTTAGATATATAACATATATATTTAACAAGCATTTAGATAAAAAATAGAAATTGCACATTCTCAAAATTTGATTTGTCATATTAGGCGATTGAATTGTTCATATAGAAATGTCACTATATAGTCTGTCCAAGCTCAATTTATGAGGTCGGTAAGTGTCGTTTCAGGACATCCTTGGCATTAGATGGCAGACTGTCAGGAAAGTTCACATCAAACTCCACAATGAGGTCCCCTCTTTGTTCTGGGTTCTTTGGGAAGGGCAGTCCTTGTCCAGCAATGACCTTCCTCATGCCGGGTTTGATAACATCGGTTATCTTCATATTGCACGTTTTACCGTCTATCGTCGACACGGTGACAGAGCAGCCACACAATGACTAGGATCAAAGACAAAACAATTGTAAGATAAGAAATATTGGTAACTCTTTACAATAATATTATTAACAATATTCTGTTACCAAAATATTCTAAACTTTAACTTTAAATGTGTTATTAGTTCTACTACTAAGACAAAGTTTACATAAAAGTAGTACGGTATTAACTGTTCATAACTGCATAACTACAATATAAATAGATATAAAACAAGTTATAAAAGTTATAAAAAGTTTTACATTTTCATCCCTTTATAAAAACAATGACTGACTAAGTTTTATGTATGCCTGGTGTGAGCTGCTTTCAACTCTGATTAATCTGTAATTGAATTGGACCAGCTTTTAGATACGCATTCATTTTTCAGCTTTTCATGATATTCATGCACATCTTGACTCTCAGTTATTTCTTTAAACTTTCTTCTTAAAACGACAAGCATCAGGACAAGCTGGGAACAACACAAAACTTTCCCATTATGATAGTATCCTGTACACATATAGGCCTACCATCATTTCTATTCATTATACTGCAAATATTGTGTGCAAAAATATATCCAACTCTTTCCTTTTCATCACCTGCATCCCATCCAACAGCCTAAAATCATATTTCAATGGTTTTGACGGCCACCCTGTGTCATGACATTTACAGACACAGGACTGTCTATCAATGATTTTCTTAAAACGACAAGCATCAGGACAAGAAGCTGGGAACAACACACAACTTTCCCATTATGATAGTATCCTGTACACATATAGGCCTACCATCATTTCTATTCATTATACTGCAAATATTGTGTGCAAAAATATATCCAACTCTTTCCTTTTCATCACCTGCATCCCATCCAACAGCCTAAAATCATATTTCAATGGTTTTGACGGCCACCCTGTGTCATGACATTTACAGACACAGGACTGTCTATCAATGATTCTGCCATATATGCACATCTTGATGGCCATGTAACAGTTTAAGTGGGCGAGCTCCTTTTCTGGCATCTCACAACAGATGATCGAGCTCATATTCCTTCCTGTCCAAACTGCATTATGTAAGAGACAAGATTTCACCCAAAGAATTTAACATTTTTAGCTAGGCAAATGTACAAAACTGTGCCTTATACAAACTTGCACAGATAAATAGATCTATAGACTATAAAAGTGTTTATAATTTTAACTGAAACAAAATGCTACAGTAAAAACAAGTAAATTGGCAATAAACTGTAAAACTGTTAAACTGTAATTCTTACATGCTGTAATTTAACCTACCATAAATGGTGTAAAATTAGATTGAATTTAATGGAATTAATAACTAGGACTAATTTTGCTGAAAAATACTGTCTAAATTAAATTTTTTTGGAAGTAGAATTATGCATTATCATATCATTTACAAGGTGAAAATCTATATTATGTTCAACAAGACAACATTTTTGAAGTCAGACTTATCATTGGATTGAAAAATAGATAGTTTTATAAGCCTGCTGTAATTTAGTTTACCATATATGGTTGAATATTATATTGCATGCACTTTTACTGTAAAATACTGTTATGCTTTTGGGAGTAAAAAAATATATGAGTTATCTAATTTAGGTGAAAATCTATATTATACTCAGCAAGACAACACAATAGTCAGATGATAGATAGATAGATAGATAGATAGCACAACAGTCAGATGTCAGTCAGTGGCTTCTCTCACCTGGCGCAAACTGACCCGGACCGGGTACACGATATCAGACCCCTCTCGTCGAAAGTGGGCGTGAGGCTTGTCTTTAATGACAAACACGATATCGGCAGGAATAGTATTAGGCGATTCGTCACCCTCGCGTGGAAACGTGATTTTAGTTCCCTCTTTCCACCCACGCTTGATCTCAATCGTGAGGATTTTGTCCTCGGCTCTCAAGGTCCGCCCGTCCGGATTCAAGCGCTTGCGTGAGATTTTCATGCGCTTGGTGCATCCATGGAACACCTCCTCTAGGGACACCCGGAGCTCGTGGTGGATCGCGGGGTCCTGTTTTCTGCGCGGCGGACCGCCCTGACCAACTCGCTCGCGTGGAAATCCATTTATGTTAAAACTCGTAAAAGAACCAAAGGGGTCACTTCCGTCCACCTCCATGTCATCGTCATCCCGTCCATTGATTTTCCTGCCAAAAAATATCTCGAAAGGATTGGCTCCCCCGAAAAACGTGGCAAACGTCGCGTGAGGATCTCCATGGAAGGTGTAGGTGAAGTTGCCTCCTGGCCCGTCGGACACCCCTCCACCTCCTTTAAGGCCTAAAATGCATAGATTTGACAGAAAACACGTTTTTATCTCTGGGAGAAAAACTGAGGAAGATTTAGGCCACAGGCCTCATGATGTTAAAGGCTTGAATTACAATGCACCCCACTGCGGTCCCCCTAAATAAACACAAATAATATACGCACGTCAGACCAATTATTCATAATTACAACAGCGGTGACATCCAGTTTCGACTCTTAAATACACAACATTTACAGAGCTTTGCTTCCGATTTTAAAGAATGCGTTGATTGAGCACTAAAAGGACAAAAAAAGCTTGACTGCTTATGGTCAACTTTGTATAGCGTAGCCTATCCTGAGATTCCGTTTTCATTACTACAACATGTAGCCTACATCCGAGATATTTAAGAGATTAGCAGACAGAAGGATTAAGCATTCATATTTTCGCTGTTATTTCGGAAAATACAGAGATGAAGGAAGCCTACCTTCTTCGCCGTACTGGTCATATATTTCTCGTTTCTTTGGATCACTAAGAACTTCATAAGCCTCCGCGACCTCCTTGAATTTCTCCTCCGCATTGGGCGTCTTGTTTTTGTCAGGATGCCATTTCAGAGCCTGCTTTTTGTACGCCTTTTTGATGTCGTCGTCTGATGCTCCTTTTGCGATTCCCAATATTTTGTAATAATCTTTGCCCATGTTCTCCTATGCAGACCCGGTTGGCGCCGATTCCCGAGGATTCGTCAGTCTCTTGAAAAAGAAGTGAATAAAAGCACTGTCGTGGCTACGGTGTCAAATCCTGCCTCTTTAAACCGCGATACAGATGATCAGTTGATCCTGTTGTGTCTGTTTGGAGGCGGTTACTCAGCACTAAAGATCTTGTGTTATTTTACCATCTTTAAATAGCCATTGCTCCCTCCCCTGTACCAGTGCAGCTCTGGAATCAGAGTGCTTTCTAGAACGTAATAGCTGAGGCACGTCATTTCCCATTTCAGATAAACCTAAATTCAGGAGTAGACTATGTGTAGTCTATCTATCTATCTATCTATCTAGCTGTAGCCTATATTTTACAGATCGTAAAGTAGGCTACGTTTCAGTAGATAATAGAATGTTATTATAGCCTACCAACCTTGAAAATCTACAAAAATCTGATTTGCGCATTAAAATATATGCATAGCCTCATAATAATGCAAGTGGTAAAAGTGGAAAGACATCTGATGACTTCATCTTTTGATGAAGTTCAAAGACGGACTTTCCATGAACACTGGCTAAGAATAGACTAAACACAGTATTAAACAAACACAAAACACCACCAGGGAAACATACATGACAGTAATATAACGAAATAAACTTTAATAAACAACATAAATCAAATATAATCAACATATCTTGACATATGTTCCAAAAAATCCCATCATCCATTGATCTATCTATCTATCTATCTACAGTATGAAAACAAATCTGACAAGAAAGAGGTTCCACTTTATTTCATTTGCTATATTCTTGTATGAGAAACAAGGCAAAGAGAGTAGTAAAATTTAAATTAAAATGAAATCAAATATGACCCCAAATTGCACAATGGCTCTATTTTGTCTTTCGTCGTATGTTGATTAAAGAAAGCCTGACATTCCATAAATGAATGATCGATATGCTTACTGTAGGCCATAAGAAATATTTCATTCCAAAATTAGCTTATGCTGGTTCATTAGCTGCAGCATCATATGACCTTTCTTTTTCTCTAGGCTAGGTTATTATATTGTCTCCCATCAGGACAATTTAACCCCATCTGTCCTTCAGATCACTCTAAACATTTAGACTAAAATAATAGTAATAGAACTAAACAATAATAGCCTAATAATAAAACTAAAGAATAGGCCAGACCCCTCAGTGGCATATTAGCTACTCTAAAACTGTAATGCTTCATTTGTGTTGTAGCTAGTAATCAAAGTCACTATAGATGCAGACAATTAGACGTAATTTTCTGAAAATAGATGGAAAATATGAGATAATAAAAGGCAGCACTCTAAGTATAGTAGTTCGATCTTTCACTGGCAGGTGGCACCCTGCCAATACAAGATCCAGTTTCCTCCCCATCCCAACTTTCTCCTCACCCAGACCGGCACCCAGACCGGCTTTGCATATTTGAAGTAAACCTAATCTTTGAATACATATTAGATAACGAGTCTAATAGGAATACAACATAAAGAAAATAACCAGAAATAACCATGTTTGGCCGCACAGCTAATCCATATAATAACACACGCCACAGTTCCATCTGCTGGTTCGCATCGGTATATCGCGAGTTTTCCCTCTGCTATGCTGGCTTTCAGCTGGACCACCGCATTGTGCTCCATCCTCTGACTCAGCGTTATCAGAGTAAATAAGGTGAAAATACAATTCACCACAAATTAATCTAATAGACTTACTTACAACTATTTCTAGTATCAATCGTAACTTTTAAAAGAAGAACATTTCGTATTTTACGTCGGATCGCAATATTAATCATGGATCATTTCCGCGGCTTGTTTGATAAACTCGACAAGAACGAAGACGGTTTTATATCTACGGAGGAGCTGAAGAGTGAAATGCGAAGGATTGGTGTGGAACCAGTTTGTGAAAAGGTTCAAGTAAGACTTCTTTGTGTGGAATTAAATACTGCTACATTTGAAGAGATGTAGACAAAAGTAATCATTATTTTATACACTCTAAAAATGCTGGGTTAAATATAACCCAGCACTGGGTTAAAAAGGGACAAACCCAGCTATTGGGTTGTTTTGACCCAGCTAACAACCCAATAGTTGGGTCAAAACAACCCAATAGCTGGGTTTGTCCCTTTTTAACCCAGCATTTTTTAGAGTGTATGTATCTGGATTACATTATTGTCAGTAAATATAATCTTTTGTTCAGGCTATCTTGTCCAAATATGACCAAAATGAGGATGGGCGTCTAAGCTATCAGGAATTTCTTATTTACATGATGGACAGAGAGAAGAAATGGAAAATAGATTTCCATGCCCTTGACAGAAATAAATGTGGTAAGCCGTCCGTCTGTGACAAATATCCATATTTTCTATTTAAAACAGCTTTATGTCTAAGAGCTGGTCTTTGTTTGGCGGTGTAAAATGTGCTCTCAGCTCACCAAATAAAGTATCAAGACAGTGGCACAACTTTATATATTTTTTCCTTTGATATAGGGGCCATTGACCTGGAGGATATAATCTCTCTGTTTATGGAATTAGGTTTGGTCATATCAAAACCCAACGCAAAGCGAATCATTCAAATGTAAGAGACTTGATGGTGCTGCCTTCGCATTTGCAATAGTTTCTCCTTGTAAATTATTATAAAACACTAGTTTACCAAGTAATAGACATCAAGATCACTTTATGTTTGAGATGGGACAGATACCTTGACATATAGGCTATTATATGGATTTATGTAAATCTACAAGAGTTTTGTGATCTGACAGTTTAAGTTAAATGCATGGCATTTGTATTGATTAAGTTATTAATCAGAATATTAACATTAAATTCTGATTGTCATTAGGATGGATGAAGACAACTCTATGACAGTAGACTGGGAGGAATTCCTCCAGCACATCATCATTAACCCAGCAGAAAACATTGGAGAGTTGGTATCTTCCTGGAAACATAACCTGGTAAAAAAAAAACTGCTTTTAAATACTTATTTCTCTCTAAAAATACGTACATTTAATGTATAGTTCACCCACAATGAAAACTATTTACTCACCCCCAGTGCCACCCCAGATGTGTAAGATATGATTTTTTTTTCTGCAGAACACAAACAAAATATTTAAGTTCTGTATAGATCCATCCAGGAGTTATTTTTGGTATGTTCTCACCTAAAAGTGATTAGATTGCCTCCACATCATCATTAACCCAGCAGAAAACATCGGAGAGTTGGTATCTTCCTGGAAACATAACCTGGTAAAAAAAAAATGCTTTTAAATACTTATTTCTCTCTAAAAATACGTACATTTAATGTATAGTTCACCCACAATGAAAACTATTTACTCACCCCCAGTGCCATCTCAGATGTGTAAGATATGATTTTTTTTTCTGCAGAACACAAACAAAATATTTAAGTTCTGTATAGATCCATCCAGGAGTTATTTTTGGTATGTTCTCACCTAAAAGTGATTAGATTGCCTCAGCAGACACTAAATCAGTGGAGCCATATTAATTACTTTTATATTGCCTTTACAGTATGTGCTTTTTGGACCTGTAAACTTTGTCACAATTCACTTGCATTGTGTGAACCTTGAGAACTAAGATATTCTAAAAATTGTTGTGTTCTGCAGAAAAGTAATACAAATAAGTAGCCTATGACATGAGTAAATGATGGAAAAAATTTCAATTTTAGCTAAATTATTGCTGTAAGATTTTGCACGTATACATTTAATCTGCACTGTTCATAATCAGGTTTATAAAAGGATGTTGTCTTTTTAGGTGTTTGATGTAGGAGAGAGTCGCTCTATGCCTATTGAGTTAACCCAGCAAGAGACTGACCTGTCTATCTGGGGGAACTTTATATTGGCCGCAGGATTGGCAGATGCTGTGTCTAGAACTGTGACAGCACCAATAGACCTGCTAAAGACACGACTTCAGGTAGTTTTTGTCAGTCATAACTAAAATGTGTTTGTTTTGTCTAAATTCACTTAAATGTTTTTTGATTTTAAAATCAAAGGACATAAATGCATGTTAGTGCAACTAAAGATACACTAATAGAAAATTATTTGCAAGATGACAAGAATGAAGGCAAGTCACCCAAGGTGAATAGGTTAAAAATGTAATAGATATCACAATACTTCCCCAGTTGATTGGTTACATTAAGAATTGCAAAAAAAAAAAAAAAAAAGAATCGAGTCAGTTAGAAATACCAAGGGTTCACACAAAACAAGGGGAATCTGCTTTTAGCTATTTTGCCACCCACAGTTGGAATCAGCTTCCAGGAGAGATCAGATGTGCTAAAAAATTAGTCACATTCAAATCTAGACTCAAAACTCATCTGTTTAGCTGTGCATTTATTGAATGAGCACTGTGCGATGTCCGAACTGATTGCACTGTATTTTATGTATGTATAATCATTTTCTATTTTTAACTGTCTTAAATTCATTTTAAATCAATGTTTAAATCATCTTTAAAGTTTTTAAATTCCTTGTTTATTTTTGTGATTATTATTTATTTATTTATGATTATTTTACTTTATTTTATGCAAAGCACTTTGAATTACCATTGTGTACGAAATGTGCTATATAAATAAACTTGCCTTGCCTTGCCTTGAAGTGGAGATTTTTGGCTCAGTGCAGGAGTAAAAAAAAATCATTTTGAGAATACCCTTCAAAGATATGTATTTTAATTGAAATCTACAGACACAAATGGAAAAAAGTGCAATAAAATAAACAATTACAAGTATACCTTGTATGATTTCCTATATAGTCTGAATCAACACTGCATCCAAAATCTAGAAAATCCAAGTTTAGATAGAATTTGTATTTCAATTAAATTGGAAGTAACCACAATATATTTAATTTGGGAAACTGAGTGTCTGATCTCACAATAATAGCTTAATACACTGCAATATGCTGGATAGGTTTTTGGATCCAAAGCTGTGTCTCTGGGATTCCGAGAGCTGCAGACGGGAGGTTTTAGATCCTTGTGGCAAGGAAATGCTGTGAATGTTCTTAAAGGAACACCACAGTCAACGCTTCAGTGCTTCATCTATGCCCAGGTATGCTAACAAACATGCACACACATTCGCTTGCATGCAAAGAAATGTTTGAACATTCGTTCTGGTTACACTTTATTTTGATAGTCCACTTTAGACATTCTACAAACTGTAAGAAACTTTGCAACTACATGTCAAATAACTCTCATTACAGCATTTGTAGACTGTTAGGTTAGGGTTAGTAGAATAAGTTGCCGCACTTGCAAAGTTAGTCAGTAGAACGTCTGTTGAGTGACCATCAAAATAAAATCTTAGATATTAAGCAGACAGTCTACTAATACTCTAATGACTGCTAGTTGACCTGTAGTTGCAAAGTTATTTATAGGTATTTGAATGGCTAAAGTGGAATGTCAAAATAAAGTGTTACCTTATTTCTTTATGTCACTGTCCTTACAGATGAGGATGTACACTCTTGGCGACAGGGACAGTCTGTCAGTCCATCAAAGGTTTGGACTGGGCTGTGTGTCAGGGGCCGTGGCACATGCTGTGTTCTACCCCTTAGAGGTATCACAGTGACACAACAGGTTGGAGTTCCTTACTGTTAGGTTTTGTTTGTGAAATGTTTGTGAAAGAAAGTGTGTAGTTGTCACGTCTGTCAGCATTTTTATCTAGAAGGTGAACTTTTACAAATAATTTCTCATGCAATAACCAGTTACACTCAGTCAATAACCCTGGAAGTCATAAAAAGTCATAGTTTTTTTCTTTTTCAGAACATGACACATTGAGAAATGTCATATTGCTTTCTCTCTAATTTACTTTACAACAAAGGATTCTGACGGTTTCACGTTTATCACATTTTTTCCCCCCTGACTGTGCCTTTATATGAATCAGAATGCATGGAACAGTTGCAGAACCACTGCATTTTAATCACAGTCCAAACAAACATGCTACATGTAGCATGAGCAGGTTTTGATGTAGATAGTATATTTTCAAAATTTAAAGCAAAGACAAACTGGTCTTTAGCTTTGTGAATTTATGCTATATAAAACATCTGCACGAAACAAAAACAGCTGATGGGCTGACTGAGAATGTAAATTCACTCTCTGACAGCAGGTGGCGCATATGAAACAGCAGGTGGCGCATATGAAACAGCAGCGATACAGTGTTTCCTTGGTTACTGCTGTAAACAAAGCAGAATGCTACATTAATATGCATTATAAAGCAGCAGGCTGGTTGTTGTTAGGATGACAAAAAGCTTTAAAAGTTACATTTTCAGCTTGGTCTGCCTCAGCTCGTCAATGTCAAAATAATTGAGATGGCCAATCAAATCAAAGTATATTTGATTTGTAGTATATATTAATAAAGCAATAAGCCCCAAGAAGCCGTGGTTTACAGTGAATTTATAACCGCTAAGGGTTATAAGCGGTTATAAATTCACTGTAAACCACGGCTTCACGGGGCTTATTGCTTTTATAAAACGGTTATTCCATATACGTAGTAAGTTTCACAGAATAAAACAGAGCAAATAAAGTGTAATGATATAAAACAGTATTCTTCCACCAAACAATGTAGTTCCTCAGAAACAGTTGCGGTTCCAACAAAGTGGTTGCCGAGCAACACACAGAAGTAAACAAAGGTGTATGTTTGTAGTGTAATTTACAACAGCTTCGAACGCGGCTCAACCAATCAGAATCAAGGACCGGAACTATCCGTTTTATAAACATTATTATACATTTTCTCCTAATTGCGTTCGTCTTCAGCGTCTCTGGCTTCTGTTAACAGCCGTTTACAGTTGGGTTATTTGCTCAGTTAAAGAATTAGTTTTGTGTTATTAATAGTGCTGTCAAATGATTCATTCCAATTAATCGCATCCAAAATAAAAGTTTTTGTTTACATAATATATGAGTGTGTACTGTGTATATTTATTATGTATATATAAATACACAAACACACATGTATATATACATGTATATAAAAATTAAATGAACACATCACTGATAATTTGTTACGTTATCTTTGTGTTGTATTATTTTCATGCTCCCACAGAGAATGATGGCTAATGAAATTTTGTCACACAAGCCTTTTGCCTCATATAACAGCTAAACGCACAGCGAAATAAACTGCTACATTTAATAGTCAGTAATTGTGACCCAAAATGAAAACAAAAAGTTGTTGTTACTTGTAATAAAATAAATGTTAACTAAAATCAAAAAACGTTAATTGTATTACTGTACTAAAATAACTAAAACTGATGTAAAAGATAATATATATTGTTTATTATTAGATAATACTATTGTTATAGTTTTATTAATATTTTGAATAAGTTTTTATTTTTTAAATATTTTTCATTTTATTTCAGTTAAAGTTTTAGTTGTGTTTTGTCATTTTTATTAGCATTATACATACATATATAATGCTAATAAAAATGACAAAACACAACTAAAACTTTAACTGAAATAGAATGAAAAATATTTAAAAAATAAAAACTTATTCAAAATATTAATAAAACTATAACAATAGTATCTCACTGTTGCTAAAATAACATTGATTGTGACAAAATGTTTAAAATAAGAAATGTCATGAAATCTAAAGTCCTGATTGCAAGAAATAACGTTGCAACTGCACGAAATAAAGTGACAATTGCAATATATAAAGTTACAATACAACATTTAAAGTCATAAGTATTACAAATAAAGTCAAAGTTCTGAAACATAAACTCACATTTATGAGAAATAAAGAGTCATTTGTGAGATATAGTGACATTGTGAGATATATAGTCACAATTACGAATATAGTCACAATTGTGAATTACAAGAAATAAAGTCAATTCATACATACAATTGCCTTACATATTATAGTCATTTTTCAACAGGACACAAAATGCATTCAAACTGAGCTGTATTAGAACAACATTAATTTGCTGACTAATTTTTTATTCTTCTAATGGCAGGTGTTGAAAGTTGGACTCAATCTCCAGCCTGCTGGTACCTACAATGGAGTACTGGGATGTGCCAGATTGATTTACCAGAACGAGTCTGTGTCAGCTTTCTACAGAGGGTTCAAACCTAGCATACTCTGCATGATACCTTATGCTGGAGTGGAATGTGCAGTGCATCAGGTAATTCATGGCACTGGAGGAGGTATCTTACCTGAGCATTCAATCAAGAAGAGACAAACTACAAAACTGCTTTTACTTTCAGGTAGTGTCATTGCTGAATAGGCAAGCTGCAAGTTTTATTTTCTTATCATCCTAACTTGCACAGCTGTAAGTTTAATCTATTACCTGATTGCACATAAAATCATAAAATGTTAATTAAGGAACATTGCTAAAAGTTTAAAACTAAGTCTTAGTGTGTTTTTTATGTGACATTTTGTAACATTCATTGCCAATAATTTCATATTTTGTTATTTTTTATTATATGGTATTTTTTATATCACTGAAAAGATATTAACCTAAAATATGCTTCATGCAAAAAACATCTATATTAATTGATTTTATTCAAGTAAATAATAATACCAGTAAACCCAAATTTAATGGTTAGATCATATAGAAATAGTTCTTGAACAATTGCAGTTTACCACTTTTTTACGTTTGATGATTATTATTCAAATATCCAAAAATCCAGCTGTATTTATTCGGTGCAACTTATAACATCCAAGTGAAAGATATAACACCAACATGTCAGAAAAAAAAACAGAATCCCCCTCCTAAAAATAACTTGTAAATCAGGTGTAGCTATTCACCTTCTCAATGGCACACAAAGCCATTTGGCTTTCAGCTGTGATCAGCTGTGGTCATTTTGATTAGCTCAGCATGAAAAGAGCTTTCCTGCAGCATTTCAGTCCTTGGTAGTGCAACTGAAGCAAACAATCAACTATGGGTGGCAAGGCACTGAAAAAGATCTCCGGGATAAAGTATTGGACAGGCACAAGTCAGGAGATACAATAGATACAAAATCAAATAGATACAAAAAAAAAATCAATGGCTTTATCAATGCCTAGAAGCACAGTGAAGTCTATTATTAAGAAGTGTATGGTATTACGTATGGTACAACACAGACCCTCCCTGGATCAGGACGTCGCTCCAAACTGGATGAAAGAGCCGGAGGAAACTGGTCAGAGAGGTGACCAAGAGGCCTACAGCAACTCTGAAGCAGTTGCAGGAATTTATGACAAAGAGTTGTCATTATGTGCATGTGACAACAATATCACAAATTCTTCCCAAATGTGGTTTGTATGGGAGGGTTGGAAGAAATAAGCCACTCCTCAAGAAAGGCCTCATGCAGTCATGACTGAGCTTTACCAGAATGCGCGATTCTGAGGCAGATGAGACTAAAATTTAATTATTTGGCCTCAACACCAAACGATATGTCTGGCAGAAATCCAATAACAGCTCACCATCCAAATAACAGCATTCCTACAGTAAAGCATGGAGGTGGTAATATCCTGTTATGGGGTGTATCTCTGCAACAGGGACTGGAGCACTTGTCAGGATAAAAAGAAAAATGGATGGGGCAAAATAATGTCAAATTCTTGAGGAAAATCTGCTGCCCTCTGCCAGAAAGTTGTCAGTGGGAAGAAGGTTTACCTTCCAACATGACAATGAAAGAAAGCACACAGCAAAACTGAGCACACAGTGGTTGAATAGGAAAAAGTAATGTCCTTGCATGGCCTCGTCAGAGCCCAGACCTAAACCTCATTGAAAAATCTGTGGAATGACTTGAAGACTGCAGTCACAAACAGTCAGCATCAAATTTAACTGAACTTGAGCAGTTCTGCAAAGAAGAGTGGGCAAATATTGTGAAGTCAGATGTGCAAAGTTAGTAGAGACATATCCCAACTGACTAAAGGATGTAATTAAAGCAAAAGGTGGTTCAACAAAACACTGCCACAAGGGGGTGATCTTTTCTCCAACTCAGTGATTCAGTTTTTTTATTTTTTATTTTTTTTTCTGAAAAGTTGGTGTTATATCTTTCACTTGGATGTTATAAGTTGCACTGAGTAAATACAGCTGGATAAAACAAAACCTGAGTCCATCATCATTTCAGGCTGCAAAGCAACAAAATGTGATTATTTTAAAGGGGGATGATTCATTTCTATACCCACTGTATTTACACACACACAAAGTTATATTGGTTGATCTTTAAAAGTCATGTATCTTTTATTCTAAAAAAAATGTAAATAAATTTCCATGCCAACAATTATTGCCATATAACATGAAACCTTTCTCCTCTGGCAGTCAATTATGAGCTGGGCTAGACAGGATCCAGAGCACTTCAGTGACTCCAAGCTCTTCCTCTTCAGTTTTGCAGCATTTGCATCAGGACAGGCCACCAGTTACCCTCTTGCGGTCATCCGAACACACCAGCAAGCACAAGGTGAATATTAACCTGAACTGATGATAATTACTTGGATGCATGTTTTCTTCAATCAACAAAAATGTCTTCTAAGGCTTTTACTAAGTGGTATTTGTGCTGTACAATCTTGCTAATTTTTTTAATTTTTTAGAATATGCATGGCTATCAGTCTTGTTTTAGAGCACTAAATACAGCTCTGTTCACATACAGTTTGTTAAATAACATTGTCAATTAAAGCACAGTGTTACAGAAGTTGCTATTTTTTTATACATTTTAGTCCCTGTGGTAGCAAGCATTATTCACAGGTTTGAGGGCAAAAACAGCAAAGAGCTTGACCTTCAGTTATTCTTTTATACAGAGAGTATTCGAGCAGGTGCAGTAAGCTCTTTTAACAGGACAGTTCAAGAAGAGGAAATATTCTCCTGTTAGTAAATACAATCGTCAGTCCCAGACTGTACAAACGTGTTGTACAATATTTGTCTTGTGAATTTCTTTAGCATTTACTAAAAATGATTTGATCCATATGTTGTTGTTTTTTCCCCCCACAATTTCAGCTTTCTGTTCAAACTCTCAGAAGCCTACAGATGCTCTTCAAGGACTCTTTGGAATCTATGAGAAATATGGAGTCAGAGGTTTTTATAATGGAATGGGTGCTAGTTTTGTAAGAGCAGTTCCTTGTGCTTTACTGAATTACACCCTGACCTCAAAATTTGAGACATTGCTTTCTTCATTGTTATAATGTTGAATGATGGTTCAGGAATGATGTCACGAACCTTGTGTATATTTATTGTTTTGTATTCCTTTGAATTATGTTAGATTACATATAGTCTTGTGTTACCTGTTATGGTAACAACTTATGACTATGGTATCAGTATCACGGTATCAGTTTTTGATATCTGAGCCTTTTAACAAGTATGAACACTGTATCTGTATTGTGCATCCATATTTGAGGCACTGTATTGGGTTAATATATATTTAACAGTTTACAATATGGTTTTTGCCGTGAAATGTTAACCATATTACCACTCTTCCTGACATCAAAAAATCTTTATTTGCTTGCTGCAGTGAACTTAATCTCTATGACACAGGTGTTAAATTGAAGGGCCAACTCAGACTTTCCTTTTGTATTTTGCTGTATTCCCATAGGCTATATTTCCTTGTAGGCTAAGCCCCATGTTACTAAATTCCAGCAACACCCTTCCTGAATGTGTGCGAATATTATTTGTACTGTGTATAAAACGTGTTACAACTGTACTCAGTCTACCCTATCAGTATCTGTACTGAATGAAAAAAAAAAATCCTATTGGCAGTATGTAAACATCTGTAAAAAATCATACATTTTCCAGTTTGTTTGCAAAGAACTAAACTATACTGTATCATAAGATGTTAGAGAGATGCAGTGAGCAAAGTTTCAATGAGCCAAAAAAACAAAAGAAAAGAGGAGAATAAGGACTAGGAAAATTCAAACTTGTGATATGATGCCATACTTCTGAACATTTTGTAAATATTAAAGGAATAGTTCTCCCAAAACTGAAAATTCTTTCTTTATTGGAATAAATTTGGATAAATTTAACATTACATCACTTGATCACCTTTGGATCCTCTGCAGTGAATGGTTGCTAAAAAAAACAGCTCATAAAAACCAACAAGTAATCCACACGACTCCAGCCCATCAATTCACATCTTGTAAAGTAAAAAGCTGCACATTTGTAGGAAACAAATCATCAGTGCATTTTTTTTTTCAGCCAAAAAAACAAACAAAAAAAACACTGGTGAACTTTCAAATTTTAATTATTTGTACACTGAAATTAGTCTACTAAAGATATAGGGGAGCCATGGGGCTAATATTGTCACATGGGGAAGTTGTCAAAAGGGTTATATAGGCTACTGTAGCTCAGTAAGTGAAGTTTTAAAAACAAAAGTCCAATTATACAAATGCTGTTTTTGTATGTTGGTTTTAAACACGACAGCTGTCTTAACTGTAGGATCATTTATGTGAATTCTGACCCTGACATCCAAACAAATACAAATGTAGGAAGCCTGTTTCCGCCACTGAATAAACAAAAAGTAATTGCGAATTTATATCTCACAATTATATATAATTGTATATAAGACATTAACTCGCAATTGCGAGAAAAAAGTGAGAATTGCGAGATACAAACTCGCATTTGCGAGAAAAAAGTCAGAATTGCGAGTTTTTATCACGCAATTCTGACTTTATAACTCGCAATTTTGAGTTTAGCCTATATCATAGTATATCATATAGGCCTAGGCTATCAATTCTGAGAAATGAAGTCAGAATTGCGAGTTTATATCTTGCAATTCTGATTTCATTTCTCAGAATTGTTTCTCACAATTCTGAAAAAAGTCACAGTTTGTATTACGCAATTCTGAGAAAAATGTCAGAATTGTGAGTTAAAAACTCGCAATTACCCTTTTTTATTATTATTCAGTGACAGAAACGGGCTTCCATAGTATTGTGACACTCAATAATGTTAGCCTACCCCCCACTCCTTCCCACTTTCTTTCTTTCTTTCTTTCTTTTCTGTGGCGACCCATAACAGGAGCAACCAAAAGAGAGAGAATAATTTTTCAGGTACCTTTCACACAGGGCCCAAATATTCAAGAGTAAATAAACATTTGTTTTCATTGTTGCCAGCACCATGCAAGGAGCGGTTGACACATACTAAAACCTGATCGATAAATCGATCTTTCGCTTAATGTGTTGAACGGGCCCTCAAACTTTACTGTACAATATGCTTATCAAACGGGCTTGACTGGCTAGTACAGCAAGTAGTATTTAATGCTAAAACGGCTTGCCATAGTAGTTAGCTTATTCCTTGCGGTGCCACAAGAGGACAGCATCCACAAACCGGATTGAATTAATCGAAGCGAGACGTTCTGGTTACGTGGCCCAAGTGACGTCGGCAAAGTTGACTCTTCACAAACATGGCGTCGCAGCAGGATGAAGTGGATGAGCTGTTCGATGTGAAAAACGCGTTTTATACTGGCAGCTATCAACACTGCATTAACGAAGCCCAGAAAGTAAAGGTGAGTGTCCTGCAAATAAATATTGTTCATGAGTCGAAAACATTTCCTCAAGAGTTTTAGGTTCTAGAGTATGTCTGTTAGCCCGCGTCTAATACATTATAGCTCCTATATATCACGTACCTGTTTAAAGACTGTAATTAACAAATGACAAACAACCACATCTAATTGTTTTATATTTCTTTTAGACGTCAAGTCCAGAAAAGGATGTTGAGAAGAACATTTTTCTGTACAGGGCATATATTGCTCAGGTAAGTTCATCAGTCTGTTGTGATGCTGCTGTGTTGTTTTGATATTGTTCGGAATAAACACCCAAACAAATTTTGATTTATATTTCTATGTAACTGTCAGCTACAATGTATTTTTCCCCCTCTATCAATGAAGATACACAACTGTTTCCCTTTAGAACAACAAAGACCGTAAAGAATGTCCATTTTATATAAAATTGATTAGTGCTGGTAAATGGTGATCAATAACTAGGTGGTTAACAGTGATGCTTTCTGTCTTAGAGGAAGTATGGTGTGGTACTGGATGACATAAAGTCCAGCTCCTTTGAGGAGCTGCAGGCTGTCAGGATGTTTGCAGAGTACCTCTCTAATGAAGGCAAGAGGTTTGTGCAATCTTACTTTTTTTTTTTTGTTCATTATTTCAAACCGTATATAATTAAACTTACATATTAGCCATTTGTTCTGTCATTAAATGAATCCAGGGTTTCCGTGGGTCTTAAAAAAGTTCTTAAAAAGTCTTAATTCTCCCTTCCACAATTTAAAAAGGTCTTACATAAAGTTATGGCATTAAATGTTACACAGATGTTACATTAAATGTTACTTGGGGATTTTGTTTTGTTTTCCAATACAAACGTCTAAACATCAAGATACATTTTCTTGAGATGCAAAATGAAGATATGAAGTCTTGTTGAAATTAAGTGAACCTATGAGTAAAGCAACAACAAATATGTTGTCTCATCTCATTTTGATTCAGAAAACAAGACTTATGTTATTTTGCTTCTCAAATAAATGTATCTTTATATAACATTTTTTAGACATTTGTACTGGAAAGCAAGACTAAATACTGTGGAAGAACATCACTTTTTTGCAGGTACAGTAAAAATGATTGTTATTTACATAGTATATTGTATATAGTAATGGAGATCTGTTGGAAGTTGTATGCATTAAACTTAGTGATGCTAATGCAACTTATTGTGGGCTCCCTAGACATTACCATTTGAGAACATATTGACCTAAATTTACCTTCGTAAAACCTGGCTTTTGTAAAAATGGATTCATGTATCTTATGGCCCAATACTTTTCTTAGGGATGCAATAGTGGCAGAACTGGACAAAAAGATGGCCAAGAGTGTTGATGTTTCCAACACCACCTTCCTGTTGATGGCGGCTTCCATCTATCTGCATGAGATGAACACAGATGCTGCATTACGTACCCTGCACTTCTTGAAAGTACTTGAATTTCAGACATATGGATTCAAGGCCTGGAAAGTACTTGAAAACAAACATAGGTCCTTGAAAGTGCTTGAATTAAATTTGAAATAAATTTAGTTTATGCAGGGATTAAAGTTTTCCATCGCTACGACTAATTTCCGTCAATTGGAAAAAAAAATTAGGGGAAAAGAAACACGTAGCGCATTGTTGTTGTTGTTCTGCCGGCACACCAAAAATCATTCCCGCCGCTGCAGCTTCTCAGTGACAACTGACGCTGTTGTATCGTCTTGAGAACTCACTCACGCGCTCTCATTTTCTGTGTGCCCACAGATCGCGATAAGGAGATTGACAGCTTTTAATAGTTATTAAGGGAGTTTGCAAATGTGATATTGATTCAATACAACAGTTCAGTAAACAAGTACTGCCTGATTTTGCTCTA